CTACCTCATTAGTGTTCAATTAGTGCTTCCAAATTAGAGGGATGAATCATTGCTGTTAATTTAACCACAACCAGACTTCCATTCCCCTTTTTGATTGTTTCATTTATAATAAATAATTAGCACTTGACCAGTGTGATGTATATAAATTTATTTTTAAAATAGAAAATTAATTTTGAATCTAAATATTTTAATAATTGAAAGTCAAATATAAATAGATTTGTTAATGGCCGATGAAAATTTGTTGCTGTGTATGTGGTTCTATGTAAAAGGCTTATAAAAAGTTTAAAAAAAAATGGAAAATTTTATAATATATAGATTATAACTTGGTTACAACTCATAATGTATTATTTTGGTTATTAATTGAAAAGGTCTTGGCTAATTTCTTATGTTTTTGGTTATGTCTAAAGTGATGTATAGAGTCTTTAATTATATTTCAATTGGTGTTTGATTATGATCTATTATAATATTTTTATATGACAATATTTTATAATTTAAATCATTTATTTTAATAATCTTGGTCTTAACGTTCTATAAAAATATTACTTGAATACTTATATATAATAAATTTAGTTAAATTATTTGTTTATTTTGACCATTTTAGTTCTATCGTGCTATAAAAGTGTAATTATCATATAATGATTTCATATGATATATATATATATATATATATTTTCATATGATATATATATGTATATATATTAAATTATAAGATAGTAAAATAAACACTCATTTTGATATTAAAAATAATAATTAAATTAGAAAAAGAATTAGTAATATAAAACTAAAAGTGATTCTAATTATTTAATTTTATTTTTCTTTTATATTTATTTGAAAAATAAAAATCTGTAGAAATAGAACTACACCAAAATTTATTTAAAAGATTAAATATAACTAAGAAGAAAATACAAAAATTAATTATGTAGAGTATGATTTTAATTATTTATTTTTGATAATATTAGCGCTATTGTTTTATAAAATTGTTACTTAAATACTTATATATATTAATTTTAGTTAAATTATTTGTGTATTTTGATAATTTTAGTTCTATCGTATTATAAAAGTGTAATTATCATATAATAATTTTGTATGATATATATTAAATTATAAAATAGTAAAATAAATACTCATTTTGATATTAAAAATAATAGTTAAATTAGTAACATAAAATTAAAATTAATTCAAACTATTTAATTTTCTTTTATATTCATTTGGAAAATAAAAATATGTAGAAATAAAAATTATATAAAATTTATTAAAAAAATTAAAAATATGTTATAGTTAGATTATCATATAATAATTTTATATGATATATATATATATATATTAAATTATAAGATTGTAAAATAAACGCTCTTAATTAAATTAAAATATCAACCATATAAAATAAATTAAACAACGACTAACTAAGAAAGAATCACATAACAACATTTAAACCCAAAAAGAAAAAATAATGAAAACATCCAAAAGATAGATACAATTCAATATGTGAAGTGATTAATCATCTGTAACATGATGTCAAAACATAAAAGAACTTACTATTCAATAATTAAAAAAGTAATTCAAGCACGAAATCTAAACTTGAGAGGTTCCTCGAGAGTATATACGGAAAAAAAATATTTTTCAAATAGAGTCTATATAAAATAGGTAAAGTTAGTATAATTTGAATTAGGTTTTGGTTTGTGTAGAAGTTTATATGTAATTAAGAAAATACATACTGACGCGGCTTTATTAGAAAAAAGTAAGCCCTTATAATGTGCCAAGAAAATCACTACTTTTAAATATATATATATATATATGATGTAAGAAATGAAGTATAATTTCATATATAGAATCACTATAAAATTTAAACGACAAATCCATAATATATAATTGGTATTGGGGTATATAATAATGTACGAGAAAATAAATAAATAAATATATATATATATATATATATATATAATAAAATAAAAAACAATTTAGCATTAAAAAAAAATCGTTATACCCTAAAAGAATTAAGAAGAAAAATGTGACGCAAAATTGGTATTGGATTGTGGATTATCTCAATTTACCATGAAAAATATATAGAAAAGAAATATTTTTCAAATAGAGTCCATATAAAATAGTTAAATTAGGTTTGGATTTGTGTAGAACTCTACATGTAATTAACAAAATACATACTGACGTGGCTCTCTTAAAAAAAAAGTAAGCCCTGATAAGGTTTGTAGATTATCTCAATTTACGATGGAAAATATATGAAAAAGAAATATTTGTCAAATAGAGTCCATATTGTAATAGTTCGTTCGGGCAGACCGCTCGAGCGGTCATTAGGTCGCTCGAGTGCAGATGCATAGCTCTCAGTAATTTGTCAGTTTGCAAGCGAGACCATTCGAGTGATGAAGTGGTAGCTATAACGTAGAAATTAGGCTCCCAGTATTTTCACTATAACTTTGCAAAACTTCTAGAACCTTGCGTTTACCACTCGAGCAGTGAAAAGTTCGCTCAAGTGGTATGTTCAGGACAACTCACTTAAAAGTCGATCAAATCCATTTCTCTTTTACTTTTTCCACCCTCTTTTCTCTCTTTTTCTCTCTCACCCATTTTCAAAACCCTAGCCCTAAAACAATTGATTTCTCTAGTTTTTACCTTAAATCCACCCTAGATCCTTCAAGGAGGTTGAAAGGAAAGCTTGGATCAAGAGTTCTACTGATCGTTTTGCTATTTCATCAAAGTTGGAGTTGGGTTTTTACTTTTTGTCTTCATTCTTGAGGTAGGGATACTTTTAACTTGTTATATCTTTGATTTGAGACACATATGCAGTGTTTTCATATTTTATGTATATATATATATATATAATGCGGTGTGTTAGTAAATGGGATTGATGAAAAGATGGCTATGCCTCATGATTATGGAAGAGTTTAGGTACATTATGGATAATTATTGTTGTTGATGATAAGAATTGGTCTTTAAACCATGAAAGAGGAAAAACCCTTAATTTTTCCAAAACCCTAATTTTCACATTTGTTCAATAAAAAGGGGTTTTGCTCAGTTAGTCTCTAAAACTTGAAATTTTGTGTATTGACTTAACTTTGATGTTGTAATATGAGATTTTGAAACTTTTTAACACAAAACCTTGAAATGGTGATGGTTGTGAATCGGAGAATCTATTCATTGTTGATATGTAAATTATTGGATTTTTGTGAATTGAAATTACCATAGGGAAATTGAGATTTGGAAATTCATGCATCATATACCTTTATAATTGAGAGGGAGTTTTTATGTGCGCGTAGGGCCGAGCTAGATGAAGTCATTGCAGTGGGCTGATACGTAGGCCGTAGTAAAAAGGATTTCGCGAATTGGGCCTAGCTTTCTTAGCTCGGTTTAATTATGGGACAATTACCTCGGTCGAAGAGATGGCTGCAAAATAGCTCGGTCCATATACTTCGGTTTGAGCTATAGTTGAACAGTAACCGAGCTAAGGCATTGATGGTGGACACGCCGAGCTGAATTGTAAGAGCAAGGTGGGACCAGGCTAGGTGAAGCACGGTTAAAACTGCCACTTAAGTATAGCGGAGTTAGCTCGATTGTGTTATCATTCAGCCATAGTAAAACCATCTCACTTGGTTAAAGTAGTGAGGGGGGTGTAGAAAGGCAGGCACTACCTTTCTGATTCCTAGGAGGACTCTGCGTTGAGGAATAAGAGTCCTACTAGGATTGTGCCAAGCAAAATCCATAAAAGCTCATAACAGGACCAATGGACAGGTATCACAACTTTGATTCTCGAATATATAGAGCTTTTGTCTATTGTCTATTTTGTTGACTTAGGCATCGGAGAGGTTTCCAGCACACACCCACCAGCTAGCTCACGTTTGTGCTTTCAGGTGGCAAAGGGACGACGTTTGGAGGAGTGCAAACTTGATCAATAGAATTATACGAGAAGATTATTTCGTGCTCGTACAATTGGTATCGTCTGTGGGAATTGAGACAAAGAACAAAACCTTTTGATGGAGTTTTCCTCTCTAGTTGGAATCAATAGCGCACAATGAAGACTTGCCGCAATCTGCTATTGATGGGCAAACCCCCGAGGAGGATGAGAGGCGCGAAGGCTTACCTTCTGTCCCACCCATGGCAAAATTAGAACCTTAATGACGGAACTCCAGAAGAGACACAAGGGAGAGACGGGGCACTAGTCCCCGTCGCTCTCAAAGTCCTGAAAGACAGAGAAGAAGGCTGGACCCTCAAGTTCTGGAGGATCGCGTGAGGGAGCAAGACAAGTTAATAAGAAGGATGACGGCAGACATGGAATCAATGAAGCGCCAGATAAAGGGAAAATGCGTGGTGACAGGACAGGGTCGCAAAAGCAACACGCTCCCTCGCCACTCGAAAGATCGTGACAGACATGCCACACCTTCGCAAGCAGAAAGTACGAGCCTTAGAACAGGCGACACTCAATCAAGGACTTCCAGGACTCGTAACTCCAGGTCTGAGAGAACAAGGACTGAAAGGTCACATACTGAGAAAAGCACCTATCGGCCCTCACACACACACACCAAACAACATCTAGGCACACAGAGTTGCCTAGGTCAGCGGACTTACGAACAGTGCTTGAGGAGAGGGCCCGATGGAAGGAGGATGCCAGGGCTCGTGACCCACACAGAGTATCAGCCCTGCAGCGATTGGCCCCTAGGACACATGGAAGTGTCGAGGTAGGGATGCCAATACCACGCCTTGCTTACGAACTAGCAGACAAAGTGTTAGCAAGGCTACAGAGGTCGCCGTTCGTTCCGGCAATTGAGAACGCACCATTACCATCAGGCTTCCATCAACCCAAATTTACCACTTATGAGGGGAAGACAGACCCCTACATGCACTTAAGCCACTTTCGCCAGGTTATGGTAGTATACCGGCGGAACGAGACTCTAATGTGTATTCTGTTTCCATCCAGACTTGGCGACCTAGGACTAACCTGGTTCGAAAGGCTACCAGAAGGCAGCATAGCCTCATGGGCACAGTTGGCAGAGATGTTCGTGACTAGGTTCAGAACGAATACCAAGACACTAGTGGAGATTAACCAACTACTCTCCATTGACACGGGCAAAAAGGAAACATTGACGTCCTACAACAGTCGCTATTGGGAGACCTTCAACCAGATTGAGGATTGCCCTACCAATCTCGCCATTGCACAATATAAACGAGGTTTACCAGTTGGTAACAAACTGAGGGACTCAATAACAATGCTGTCACCCCTCATAATGGAGGCCCTAATGGAAAGGGTGCACAAACATATCCGGGTGGAGGAAGATGGCGCCCGCGCTAAAACAAAATCTGGCACAATGGCAATACCAGATAAAAAGGCTACGACAAGAATCAACACGGTAGAACAACCAAGAAGAAATGGGCGTGGCAGGCGAGCTAACAGAGAGGATCCAGAAATAAAGAAGCTAAGAGTCCGCAGTGTCATTACCACGGTGTTCAATAAACCTATCTACCGGGATCCTTAGTGAGATACGTAATGAACCCTTCATTCGGTGGCCCGCCAAGTTGGGAGAAGCACAAAGGGGCTATGACGAAAGGACCCGTTGCACCTTCCATGATGAGAAGGGGCATCGCACTGAGAATTGCACACCATTGAGGCAGCATCTGGAAGAGTTAGTGGCTGTTGGGCACTTGGATCAGTACATAGAAGGGGGTACACAGCCAACCCCGCAGGACCACAACGGACCAAACGGGATGCCGATCGACGGTTCTCCCCAAGGTATAATTAACGTCATACATGGGATCGTCGAACCCGAACGGGTATGTGAACTCAGGGGGATGATCAAAAAGGGTGAGCACTTGAGAGAGGTATTAAGTGCACAACCTACCATAAAAAAGGGCAGAACAGAGGCCACGAACGTTATATCCCTCTCAGACAAGGATCTAGCAAGGCTACACTGCCCTCACAATGACGCACTGGTGGTAACTTTGCACGTCAAGAACTTCGACATCAAGCGGATTTTGATCGACCAAGGAAGCTCGTGTGAGATAATGTACTACGAGACCTTCAAACAGCTGAAATTGGAGAACAAAGACTTGGCACCTGCGACATCTCCCCTTGTCGGTTTCAACTCAATACCAGAGTGGCCAGTTGGCAGAATATCATAACTCGATTCGGCATACCCAAGGCTCTAATATCAGACAATGGAACTCAATTTGATGGAAAAATCTTCAGGGACTTTTGCGAAGAATACAAGATAGAATTCTACAACTCTACACCAGCTTACCCTCAAGCGAATGGCCAGGTAGAAGCCTCAAACAAAGTCGTCTTAGATGGTTTGAAGAAAAGGTTAGAGAAAGCCAAAGGTAAGTGGGCTGAAGAGCTTCCTCATGTTTTATGGGCTTACCGTACCGCACCTCGACGATCAACTGGAGAAATGCCTTTTTCCTTGGCTTATGGTATGGAGGCAGTAATCCCACTGGAAGTAGGCCTCCCCTCTATTAGAAGCGAAAATTTTGATCCAGACTTGAAGGAAGAAGCCATAGCCTTGGAACTCGACCTTGTAGAAGAGAGAAGGGAAAGAGCTCTAGTTCACATTGCCTCATACCAGCAGGAGTTATCCAGGAAATATAACAAAATAGTGTATCCAAGGCAATTTCAGATTGGGGATTGGGTATTACGCAAAGTAATGGGCAATACTTTGATACTTGGAGACAACAAGTTAGGACCTAACTGGGAAGGACCATACAAAGTGGTTGGTTTAGCGGGAAAAGGGGCATATCACTTGGGAGATGAAGACAACAAGGCTATTCCCAGGCCATGGAACACTGCAAATCTCAAATTATTCTACTTTTAGCCTTTTTTAAGATACCTGTAATTTTTTCCTTTTTTCAAAATAAAACAAGTAGTTTTTCTAGCATAATTCTTTCTACTGTACAAGTTGTTCTCAGTCCTTGCCATCAGGGGGCAACTAGAAAGCTTGGCAGGAATAACCAAACATTTAGCTCTCTTCAGCCGAGATAAGGATCTAGGCTGAAAAATGTTGGCCCGAATAACCAACATTGAGCTCCCTTCAGCCGAGATAATGATCTAGGCTGAAAAAGGTTAGTAGGAATAACCAACATTTAGCTCTCTTCAGCCGAGATAAGGATCAAGGCTGAAGAGGTTTGGCAGGAATAACCAAACATTTAGCTCTCTCCAGCCGAGATAAGGATCAAGGCTGAAGAGGTTTGGCAGGAATAACCAAACATTTAGCTCTCTTCAGCCGAGATAAGGATCAAGGCTGAAGAACGTTGGTCGGAATAACCAACATTGAGCTTCCTTCAGTTGAGATAAGGATCTAGGCTAAAGAAGGTTGGCAGGAATAACCAACATTTAGTTCTCTTCAACCGAGATAAGAATCAAGGCTAAAGAGGTTTGGCAGGAATAACCAAACATTTAGCTCTCTTCAGCCAAGATAAGGATCTAGGCTGAAGAAAGTTGGCCGGAATAACCAACATTGCGCTCCCTTCAGCTGAAATAAGGATCTAGGCTGAAGAAGGTTGGCAGGAATAACCAACATTTAGCTCTCTTCAGCCGAGATAAGGATCTAGGCTGAAGAGGCTGGCAGGAATAACCAACATTTAGCTCTCTTCAGCCGAGATAAGGATCTAGACTGAAGAGGTTGGCAGGAATAACAAACATTTAGCTCTTTTCAGCCGAGATAAGGATCTCGGCTAAAAAGAGTTGGTAGGTATGACCAAACACATAGTAAACAGATTAGAAAGCACTTCAACCGAGATAAGCATTTCGGTCATAAAAAATTAAAAGATAAATTGCATGAATAAAGTAAACCGAACAAACAGTTGAAGATAAAAGAGCAGATTTCATTCTATAAAAAAAATATCCACTACAAGAAGGGGCTTTGAGCCCGGCTACAAATTCTTTCAAAAGTAAAACAACAACAACAAAAAAAGGTCAAGCCAAGAGATCGTCCAGATCCGCATCAAGATCAACCCGAGCATCGCCACTTGGCAGCCTGGTTTCAATAGGTACGTCGGTCAAAGGCGCATCATGAACCGTGCTTGGCACCAATGACTTCACCCGAGCTGTTTGAACGGTTGGAAGACCACGATCATTGTTGGCATTTGGGGCGTTGTTTGAGCCAGGTGATCCTTCTTCCTCTTCCCCCTCTTGGAGAAGCTGCTGTTGGATGGCGTTGGCATAATCCGCCATATAACTTGGGATAAAGTGAGGGGGAGGGTTCTGAAAGACCTTGGTTTCTAGGCCAAGACCGAGCTTCGCAGTAGCTGCCTTCCAGCCACATTTGAAAAAGATGTCTTATGCAGCCTCGCACTGCAAGACATATGTGGCCTCACCCTCTTTGTAGCCGTGGTCCTCAACCTCATCAGCGCTCTTTTTCAGCTCGGCGATCTCGGCATCCTTTTTCTTCTCAAGCTTGGCTAACTCACGCAGATAGCGTTCTTTTTTTTCGACGAGGGCCTTCTGCTTATCTGCCTCTATTGAGTTAACCAGCTCGGTAAGTCAGGCGACTTCAAATTCGAGCTCGGCCGTCTTGGTGTTGGCTTCTGTCACGGCTAGCCTTGTTGTCCTACGCAGCTCCAACACGCACTTGTGAGCAACGTGGTTCTTCTGCATAGCCTGCAAAAGGAGAGATAGCAATTATGATTAAAATCGTGCAAACAGATATGTGAATTTGAAAGACTAGCACAGGAAGAACTTACCAGCACGATCGACTTTGTTGCCGAGCGGATGGCCTTCAGCTCGATCAGATGGTCGTGATGCTCCATGTTGGCTGGCAGGCACACACTCTTGGCGAGGTTGAAAGCAAGTGAGTGGTCTTTTTCTGCAACCACTGAGTCTGTATTTGTTATAGCTCGATTCTTGTAAGTCATTCTTGGTGCCCACTCTGAAGGGCTAGCCCAGTCAGAACGCACGGGTTTTGGATTCGGTTGCGTGGACTAGGGGAGCACTGTGTCATCCTCATCCATAAGGTGTTGTGGCTCGGTTGAGGGAGTGCGAGCACGTTTCCTCAACCGAGATGATGAAGCTCGGGCTGTTGGGAGGGCCACCACAGCGTCAATTGTTTGACCGGCTTGTGTTGTCTCGGTCTGAATCCCGCTGTCTAGAGTTGATGTTGTCTCGGTGATTAGGGCTCGCACAGCTCGGCACTTTGCCATCTCTTGTTCTTTGGTTAAGGGAATAAGGTTGATTTGGGGAAGAGTTGGATCTGGTTTTGGTGAGGGTTCCAGAAGGAAGTTAGTTACCCTAGTCTTCCTCCTTCCTCTGTATCTGTATGTCGGTTCAAAATTGAGTAGCTCGGCCCAACCTCGGTCGCGGTACCGAAGTGCGGCACGGAGAGGGTCTAAATTGGGGTATTGGTATTGTGACTTTAACTGGTTCAAATCTACATATGGAGAAAGACAACGGTTAGCACGGTGTAAAAGTTGTAAGCAACAAGAGCAAAAAACAGACAAACTAAGTCGAGGTGTTCATACCGGCTGTTCCTTTATTCCAGTTAATACTATAGCCCGGTATCTGGGCTTCCTGGTCTTCAAAATTTCCAGAAACCCAGAAAAAGTCATCATCATTCACGTCTTTGTCCGGTGTGTTTTTAATTATTTTCTCTCGGCGTCTTCTTATTCTTAAATAATACACCCAGCCGTCTTCATTCTGGCCAAGTGAGTATTGATGAAATAGCTTAGCTAAACCGAGGTTGAGGCCAAGCCGGCGGTTTAGCTCGACAATGCCATTTATTATTCTATATGAGTTTGTGGAGAGCTGAGTGGGGCAGAGTCTTGTCTACCTAAGGAATTCACAAAGGAGTGGCTGAACAGGAAATCGGAGTCCAGCTTCAACAATGGATATCACGGTAAAGGGGACGAAGCCCGGTTTTCCCTAGGGCGTTGTATCTAGCTCGGCTAAAGAAAGGTGGACATCATCCAGGATGTTGTAGTCTTTACGGAATTCCGTAATGGCCCCAAGAGAGTTTACTAAGAATCGGTATTTGCCCATTAAAACTTTAATTGTTTATAAATTAGCACGGTGGCCTAGCACGGTGTTGAAGGGACGTTGAGTATCTCGATTGAATATGCAAAGGTGTGCCTGGCCAACCTAGTCAAAGTCTGCAAAGTGGAGATAAAAAGTGTTATGCCCAGATCACTGAACCGGACTAAAAAAGGATAAATAAAATAAAACCTAGTTCGGTTGAATGGGTTGCAACCCATTCTTAGTTCGGTCTTAACACAGGGAGAGGCTCAGGTTTTGGCTCGGCCTTGGGGCAAGAAATCTTATAGCTCAGTCTAATACGCACCTATGCAAACAAGTTCTTATCTCGGTCATGATGTTATTTTGTCATATTACAAATTATTTGTGAATCCAGTTAAGAGTGAGATTGAAGACCTATCATGTGGTTCTTAAGGTTTAGGTGGTTCTTACCCATTTGTGTGAAAATTATGGGAGTATGTTTTGAAAAATGCATGTATATATATATACATATCTATATCATACATACTCATAGAGTAA